CCATATGTATCAAAAAGTAAAAGTAATCCTTTTGTAAAAAGCAGATCACTATCGTAATTTATTCGTTTCTTGCTTTATTGTTTAATCGAAAAATCCTAAAGAGAATTCAATAAATTTTTGTATCAAAATAACTTTGATGTATTCGTATACATACATCAAAAGAAACAGATAATATATCGAAAGGTCATTAAAATAAATCCGTTGTGCCGCGACAGAGAGAACGGCAAGAATTTTGTAATGCATATGAACTATTATAATATAATATATGCACTTCAAAATGTGTAAAATCGTTTTCTCTACAAAATGTTATCATGATTAGGTCGAAAAAGCAGTGAGCCCCTCCTTTCTCCACAAGACTTGACCCGAAAAAGATGAACTTAATAGATGTTTAATGAGAGCTGATTTAGACTTAAGCTCAATGTGTTAATAATCAACTAAAACGAAGCAAAGTTTTAATAGACACTGTGTCCACTAGATTTTCTATCCGTTTATGTAGAAAGCAACAATAACAACATGTCATTAGAGGTTTAGTATATCTGCCCTGCTTTATTTACTGATGCGAGAATGCTTTCAAGGAAAGTCCCTGTTTAACTGTGCAAGATATTCTCGGAAAAATCGCTCGATTTCGCTACTCTTCATTTCTACAGCACAGCAGGGAGGAAATTAGGAAAGAACCTAACTTAACCCTTTACCTACCAAGGGATCACCCATAACCAGGTCATAGAATTGTTATGAAAAGATAATGAAACATGTGATAAACAATGGATTGCTTTTGAGAATAAGATAAATCCATAAGCTATCAATTGATGTGAATAAAAGAAGATTTTACTTTCCACCACTTTTTGGTGCTTCATTACCTTTTTATAACAATTCTACGAATGGGTCATGGGTGACCCCCTGGTAGGCAAAGGGTTAATAAGCAAGCAAAGAAAATAAATATGGCAGTATTTGTTGCTATTTTTTTTCAACGAAGTTACTGCCAAAAATGGCCACTAATAATAATACTTTTTCCGTTCTTTTCTCTTCTTGCATTGAATAAGAATTTAACCAATATCTATATAGTCCATTAGACATATATAGACATGTGCGCCGAACGACACAGACGGCCTTGGATAGTTCATTGTTTTCCATGTACCACACCGACGAAAAACGGCGCGCTGATCACGTCGACGTGGTACATCGAAAACAATGGACTAACAAAGACCGTCGGTGTCGTTCGGTGCACATGCCTGGATATATGTATTCTATTTTCTATCCGACAGATAATATATATATCACTACACCAAATTACTTTTACTTTTAGCTTTAATTTCCCACTCTGTAACTACGTAATATTTGAACAGATCTGTGACAATTCAATTTATAGTGGAAACAAACATTTTATTCGCCCTATTAATTTTTCTTTTTTTCTTTCCATTCACATCCATGGGAACGAAAGAGACACTGTAAATTTGAAAAAAGAGAAGTCCGTAGTCTTTTTATCTACTTTACTCCGAATCACATACAAAAGTTCGTTTCATCATTAATTAAGGTCTGTGAAGAAAGCAATCACAGACTTTTCTTTTTTCAATACAAGTGCTGTACATGCAAGAACGGTTCTATATTCTCTAGTGAATGTACTTGAGCCAAGTACTTGGGTTAAGTAATGAGGACAGTACTTGCGAACTTTTCCAGGTAAATTTACTTTACTTGGCTGACACAATGCAAGGCAATTTACTTCAAAAGCTTCAGTCAAATACTTATTCCATATATTTTCATCTTATATTTTGTATTCTGCAGCGATACTCTACTTTTATAGAGAAAATACACGCACGGCTACTAAGTTTGTTCAACTCAGTGGAAATATATAAGTTTATTTTATAAGTGTATAACGAATGATATTGTGGTGTTTATATACAAACGGTCAATGCAAAAGAAAAGGTTGAGTGGCTTGTCCAAGTACCTGGCTGAAGCAAGTCAAGTAATGACACTTGGCAAGTTCTTGATCAAGTACTCATCAAGTAATCAAGTACTTGTACCAAGTACATTCACTAGAGTTACATTTATTTTCTTTCCGTCCTACGTCCACACTCATCTATTGGCTAGAGCAGCCATACTGAGACTTTTTTCCTGTTTTCGCTTGACAGTTAGTTTTTAACCAACGTTGAAGTTATCTGCTATTGACAGCTAAAGGCAGGTAACTTCTAACCATGTTCAGCTACGCTGCACCATTACTTGTAACTAATCAGTGCTATCTTATTAAAATGAAATATGTGAGCGGTGAATGCTGTACTTAAAAAGATTTTTTTCTAAATATTTAAATTTATTTGTTTTGACTCCGCTTTGCCTAACGCTTAATAGAGCAGATGTCATAATTAAAACAAAATGAAATAGACGACGTCAATTTTTTCATTCCAGTTATCGAACACAGTCTGAAATTCTAACCGTCGTGGATGTATCATATATGACAATTATGATATTCCTTAAGCTCGATATGGTACATATATTTGCTTACTATAAACGATGTTTCATACCTATATTAAAGAGTATTATATTGATTTCTTTTCACAGAGCTTTTGTACCAGGAATGAAACATCGACTAAAAAAAAGACCAAAAAAATTACAACTATAATGTAATTTACTCCAATAAAGAATCAACGTATGAAGCCTACATTTTCTCTTTTTTTTGATCGCCTCTGATTCTTTTTCTCTTAGAACACCTTATTCTCATTGACACAGAACGTGCATTGTAATTTATATAAAGCATAACTATCAAATAATATGGCAATATTTTAATAACAATATAGACTCGGTACTTTACGGCTGATGTGAGTGTGTATACGTGTTTCCCATATTATTTGCGAAAACATATAAAATGTTTATGTATATATAATTAACCTTAGAGCAAACAACGATTAAATCGGAAAATTTTCATTAAAGGATTTGTCGTATGGACACAAATTTAAAATAACAGAGAGCCTATGTAAGATGTGAGGTTATTCACTGTACCGTAAAAATTAAACAGAACAAAAAATATGTAGGTACTGAATCCACCCAGTGCAAGCACATCCGGCCGTATGGTATACAAACGTTTGCATTAGATGATTAAGTTAGTGCCAAATTTCGAAACTATTTTGGCATGTGTTATTCAGTGCAGGAAATCGAATAGTTTGCTTAGTAAAAGTGTAAATTTTTTTCGACGTGCTAGTCACATTCACGGCGTACACCGCTCAGGTGTATAACCGGTATCAAAAATGCGATAACGGTATCGGTCACTAGTATACAAACTTCGTACCGGTACCGGCCGGTATACCGATGACCGGTTTACCGGTTGCTACCGGCTTGTCTTGATCATGTTTTGCTTAAATACAAATACTTTTTTCTTGTCATAGATGTGTAAAAGTCTCTTAATATTCAGCGAAAAAAACCGATTACTCTTCTTTTGATCAAATACTTATGTTATCAAAGGGAAAGATTAATCTTTTCACTTTGATTGTATATAGGTGATTTTTCACACTCTTTTTACCCGACCGGTATACCGGTCGGCGTTATAATTCATACCGGTATCGGTTGCACCTCTGACACCGCTAAATCCTTCAGTAGACAAAGAACTAACGAGGGAATCATTCAGACATAAAGACAGAATTCTGGTCGAGTTGAAGGAATTTTACTCTAATAAAAGGTGAAAAGTTAAGGCTCTGTACTAAATCGGGTTATAAATCCTTTCAACTTGGCCAGAATTCTATCGTTATGTCTGAAGATTGTTCTATATATGTAATTCGACACGCTCTACACTACAAGACAAACAAATTAAAATCTCTTCCTCTTGGATTTTAACATGGGTCGCCGGAGACCAGTTCTCCGAGGATTCACTCCGAAAGATCATATAAACTTGAACAGATGTCAGATTCATAATCAGCATCAAACTTATCTTTAATCAGATATGTTTCAAGGAAAAAGCGATGGGACACCTGGAGTGGTTCTCGTGTAAGAAGATATTTCGCAGTTGTCAGCTTTTCAAACGTTAAATTTACGTGTGCATGAAGACACAGTAAAGAGTATAAAATATGTATCGTTATTATAGAACGTATCTGACATTATAAATGCAAAAAACTGTAGAAAAGATAATTGTATTTGTTTGAGAATAGAGATATGTATTTAACAGCTTTCGTCTTGACAAGAGAATAGAAAAAAAGGTGTGTTCAATCCTTTACTAAAATAAAAGCGAGAGAAATACAAATTAGTTTTTCTGTTGTGTTCCTTATTCTTCATTTTCTTTTTGTGAACAATAATTAACTACACATTCTTCTACACACAAACTGATTTTTCATTGTGAATGTTTAACTGCTTGCATCTCACGCCTGAATTCTTTTTAAAAATTCTCACGTTCACATGTCAAAGAGAACATATGTTTAATAATATAACTAGCAGTATATAAGAGAAAAAAAATGTCTGAAATGTTAGAACACAGATCGTCATGAAGATTACGTATGGTTTCTAGAAGAGAAAAATAAAGTTCATTTAGAGTCATGGAAAAATGCTTTTTCGAATGCAATACACGTGATAACCCAAAAAATGTTCTATTTTTGACGAGGAGTACTGTCAAAATTTTAGGAAAATTTCCCGAACAATATGATGAAAAAACATTTCTATGGGAAAAATAATATTAGTTTCAAAATTTTTCTAGTAGTATTCCTCGACAAAAATAGAACATCTTTCGAGTTATCGAGTGTGCTGAACAAAAAAAGCGCTTTTCCGCGATTCTAAATGAACTTTATTTTTCTGTCGATGATATGCTTCTATCTTAACTGTATACGTTTTAAAGTAGTGAGACCAACTTAAAGATTCTTCACAGTATATATCGAGTTGATCGAATATTTTTTTTTGCACATCTTTCTGTGTAGAAAGCACGATACATGGATAGCTCGGATAGAAAAGTGATAGACCATATTACTCAATACTAACCATGTGCAATAAATTCGAATCACTATTAGAAATTTTACTTCTTTCAGAAATAACTCATGTTTAACTATCGTCTTATTTGTATATTTGTTATAATAATCAATATAAAAAATGTCTTGCTATCTTCATCATCCGACGTAGAAGAACGTCTATTACTGAATCACGATATTATTGATCCAAATGGATATATTTTGTTTTGTTTATGCATGGGACGGTTTGGTAATCAAGCTGAACATTTTCTTGGTGGATTAGCATTTGCAAAATTGTTAAATCGAACGTTAATCTTACCGCCATGGCGTACATATAAAAATATTCCATTTACCGACTGGTTTGAAATAGAACCATTACGTGAATATCATCGTGTTATTGAAGCGTACGATTTTATGGCAAAATTAGCACCACACGTATGGCCAGAAGATAAACGAATTGGATTCTGTTGGCTAACGTCAGATAAACAAAAATCCGATTGTACAATAAAAGAAGGAAATCCATTTGAAAATTTCTGGAACGAACTGAATGTTGATTTTAACGATTATGCAATATATCAATTATCGTACGACGAGTATAGTGTGGACGAATGGCATCAACGTTTTCCACCACAACAATTTCCGGTGATAGCAATGAAAGGTGAAGAAATTCTAGGTCGTCCTTACAAAACAGAAAAGATACCGTTGTATACTATTTTAGGTGCTCCCGCTTCATTTCCAATGTTGAGCAATCATCGATATTTACAAAAGTATTTAAAATGGTCAACTAAGATCATGGACGAGATTCATCAACATCAACAAACATTATTCAACTCTTCCAAATATATTGGTATTCATTTACGAAATGATGTCGATTGGCTACGAGCATGTTCCGATGTAGAATCTTATCATACTCAAAGTTATATGGCATCAACTCAGTGTCTCGATGGTACTGATCGTTTTGTGACGAAAAAAATGTGTTATCCTCCAGATGAAGAAATATTAAGATTATTGAAAAATGTTGTTGTACGCACAAGAATTAAGAATATTTATGTTGCCACTGATAAACGTTCGATGGTGAATGAAATAAAAGATGCTCTATCGAAACAGAATGTAATTGTAAAACATTTAGATCCATGGTTACCCGTTATTGATGTTGCAATGTTAGCTCATAGTGATTATTTCATTGGAAATTGTGTTAGTTCATTCACTTCTGCTGTAAAAAGAGAGAGAGATGTGAAAAATCTTCCATCGGCATTTTGGAGCTTCAGTAATTAGCGCTTTGTCTGTGAAAAATTCTTATTTTTTGTAATAAAAAGTATTTTGAATCAGGTTGGTCTATTTTCAATATATTTAATATAAAGATATGGACAGAGTAATATAATGATCGTAGCTGTAGAAAACAGAGCGTGGAACAGAAGCGTTCATTAACTTAGCACGTTCACTGTCCATGCATCAATATGTAGATGAACTCCATGCTCACGAGGAAAGATCCCTAGCTGATATCCTCCGATGTCTATGATATTTTGCCGATAGATACTATATGATGTCCTAGTCTTAGCCTCCAAAGGATTTGGTTGTATAGCTCTTCTTTCAAAAGTTATGAATTTTTTAAAATTGGCCACTGGAGATCCTAATTCACCATTGTTTACTTTCCAAAACTCGTCCACATGTGTGTTGACCGGCGAACATCCTTTTAAATATCATAGACATCGGAGGGTATCAGCTAGGGATCTTTCCTCGTGAGCATGGAGTTCATCTACATATTGATTACGTTATCCAATAGAGTTTAATATAATCAATGTATCGAACTATCGAAGGAAGTACTAATTTTACGCGTTTATCCTATTAAGAGTTTGGAGTCCATTGATTCGAACATATGTGTCTTCTTATTTGCGCTGTTGTCATTTTTAAATAACGGGTGGCGCATAATAAACGGGACACTTTTGTTCTTTATTTTTAAGGCACTTCCGAATGATCTAAAAATCTGGTTCTAGTCTCATTCGATAGAGAATTGAATTCTCTACAGAACCTGCTTTTTGAATCTCTGA